CCCTCCACAACTACTACAACCGGTTTTGCTAGACCGCGTAAGGCAGTAGACAGCATTGGTTAACAATAGCGGTTGGTTTACTCAAGAAATAAGTGGATGGCCTGAGCAGAATATTCTGTGCTATTCGACATGAGGCATGAAACATATTGCGATCAAGACTATGTTTCCGAAACAGCCGCAGACTCCGCCGTGTAGTTCCCTTTGCGTTTATCGCCCACAGCGTAAATTAGCCATGATACTTTTTTGTTTGTTTCATCTGGTCCTTCATCATTCCATCTGAACAGATCATGCTTACTCACTGTGCCAGTCGGGCAAGGCTTTAAGTTTCGTCTTTTGGTTGATGAATCAATATTTTGTCCGGCATTAGTTCTTCCTGTGTAGTGTAATCTTATTGTTTCAAATGTTCCGCTCATCATTGACTGATCACGTGGAGCACCTGTCCGTTTGGCATTGATCGCCCGTCACATTTTCAGTTTTTGGAATCATTAACCGCTCATTTTCATACGTCGGTTTTGGTTGTTGTCCCCTGGCTGCCCATTTAGATAAAAGAACTGAATGAAGATGTTGAGAGATAGAGAATCTATATAGACTGCGGTTGTAAGAATACTGAGTATGAGTTCCGCTGTTTGCGACACCCAGACATGCCAATTAGCGTTTCAAATCACCAGTTACCATGATCTCGGAATCCAGGGAGCCTAGCGGTACCTGTGTCACCCAACGACTTCGTTAGGGTCTTCATCCCCTCACGCCAGTTCTTAGTTTGACCGCCCTTGACCTTTTCCAACCGCTTCCTGCCGGTCTACCATCAGAGCACGCGTCATTCGCTATTTCATTTGTTTTGTTTATTTACAGTCAGTCTTTTACAGCCGCTGAATTAATATCGTCCAGCTATGGATAAAATAAAAGTACTAAAGTGCTCCTACGTCTCAAGTAGCATCGATCACATTGAGTGATGTTTTCGATCAGGTCTCAATTTCCAGACTGCACTGTTTGCCGGTTTCCATTGGTAATTTAACTTGTTTCGCGCTGCTCGGAAACAAGGTTTACTTTTAGTGCTTGATGTACCCACCCTTGCTTGCTTCATTATCGCAGCGCCTGAATTTCGCTGTGGAATTTGGCGATTTGGCCGCGCAACGACGAGCTTATAGCAACCTGGGAAACGCCTATATCTATCTGGCTGATTTTCCGTCCGCTGCGATTAACTACAGGTTAGTCCGCTCGCTTTTGTTCATCGCCCTTATCTATAGGCATATGTTCATCCGCTCATTTTGTGTTACTTTACTCACTATGACCGTCACCACGACAACGACGCTGTAGTTCGGCAGACTGCGCGTTTCTCCTTTCACTTGAATGACAGTGCATCATTGAAGAAGCCAGCTCTCATGACGATTGAATTTTTCCCAAGCTTGAATTGATCCAACGACCATCTTAAAACTCGGTTTCCCCAACTGAAATCCCTTCACCACAAATATTTTGCATCAGATGACCGCACGAATTAGTTGAAATAATTAGATAGTTTAAAACCATAATTTCATCAATTCTTTCAGTACAGTCACGAGA